TAAGTGTCCCTGACTGCTGTTACAATTGTGCTGAGCCTGGATGCCCCATTCATCTATAATGCAGTCCCCCCCTTAAAAAAAAAAAAAAAAAAAAAAAAAAAAAGAGAGAGAGAGAATTTGTGCTGTTAATCTGTGAAAAGAGCTGATGAGAGTGGGCCACACAATACCTACAGCTCTACCAACAACTGCAGTAGTTCTTGGACTGATTCCCGTAAACGTAGCCTGTACTTGCAAGCGCCAGGAGCTGCTCTTACCCCTCACATCTTGTCAATGGTGCTGTGTTTCATTCCAATCATCTCCATATAGTCAAAACACTTAAATTCCTATTCTGCTCGCAGAATGTCTCAAAATAGCCAAAGTAGAGCGCTTGCTGTATCCAACACAACCTTCAGAAACGTACAGGCTTAGACCATATTTAAATATTGAAGAAAAACACTCAACCAGCAGGATTACTTGGTATTGGACTGTGTGCTCATTGCTCACTCACTTGCCTATCGCATTTCACGTGAGGCACTAACTTGGCCAAGCCTACCACACTTGTAGATGTTGCCCTAGCAGAGACCAGCTACAGAGGGTCCAACACTTTGCTGCGTGGCCAAGCACTACAACAAGAGCACTGCACGGTCTGTTCTGAAAATGTCGCCAAACACACAGATGAATTCGGCATTTCTGTTTGTTGGTAGTATTCAGGAGTCAAGTTTTGCCCCGCTCAAGCTCTGGCTCACATTAAACACTAACTACAGGCATGACGGGCACAAGCCAATCCCCCATTGCCCCACCAAGGTAGATGGGGTCAGCAGGGGCCTAGTATGCCACAGGCTGTGTACTGCCAAAGCACACCCACTTTGCCAAAAGTGGTTGGCTGCAAGTGAACTGAGCAGCTTAGTTTTAAAAGAAGCCAATATGAAATGGCTGTTGACTACATCCCCACCCTTCCATCATGCTTCTTGGTCAATGGTGCCTTTACTAACGATAAAGCAAGGAGAATAACTCTAAAAGAAATTACATACAACTGTAAAGTTCTCTGTAAGATAACTATCTCGCTGGAGTTAACAAACTGCTTTCTGGTCAAGAGAACAGGTGCCTGGAAATAGTTTGTGCTAGGTGAAGAACGTCCACAGTTTTTGCCATTGCTCTCTTGACCTTATTTTAAGCAATGAATCTAAATCAAACTCAAGCCTTACCAGCAATTGCCAATTTAAGGTGGAATGCTTAAGAATTCCTCTAACAATCCTAGAATAACTAGCAATATATTGAAACTAAGCTGTGATTGTCTTGTAATCTTCTACTTCACACTGTTCACCTAGAAATTGGTTAGAGAGAGAATTATCTTCTACTACAAATATACCTGGAGTCGAGATCAATCCGACTGTTGTCTGGGCCGATTCAAGCTTTTTATCTCTGACCATAACTTGCAAGATTTCAACTCCTGCCACACCTTCACAAACAAAATAATTGAGAGTGGCGTTCTGTCTCCATCCCTTCTATGCCAGGCTGGAACCCGCAGGTACACTTGTCACTATTACACTTGTCACTATTTTAATTTAAACAAAGACAGTGCCATGAATTAGAAGAAAAGCTTACAAACAAAACAAAACGAAAAAACCAAGCTGCAGAAAAAAAACCCTACTATGGTGACTTGATCTATTTGCTAAAGAAAAGAAGAAAAATAACCCCCACTATTGGCATCCAACAGTGCAGTCAGGTACATCTTCATCATTGCTTAATGCTTTTCATTAAAAATAGTTACCTGTCACATAAGGGGGCTTCACTAAAACTGGTTACCCCGCAATATAGCACATTTAGTATGTCTTCAATGCTTTTTTTCCCAAATGCTCACTTTCCATCTCGTCTCACCTTCTCCACTAACTACATCCACTTTCTCTCACTGCTTACATCTGTGCTTTCATAAAAAAAAAAAAAAAACAAAAAACTATCCCCAAACCAAAAATTTTCTGACCTCAAACCCAGGTCTTTTGTTCACTGTTTGTTTCTGTATTAGTATCAGCCGCCTTAGTTACAGGAAAATTCCAGAGCTGAGAAAGGTTATGTCCACCAGTGACCCAAACCAACATGAGGAACCAGCTGTAGGCTAACAGACCACATAATTCCAATCGAAAGTAATTTCCTACTAAGAGACAAAAGAAAAGCTAACAGATATTTTAGTCTCACTGAAACCATGCAAAGAATTCCCATTGCCTCTTTAAAATAAATAAATATATAAGTTATACATGGCCTTCAAAGCAATGCAGTTGAGTTCCAATGCGAGAAGCCCAATTCAAAACGTAAGGCCAGTAACAAGTGCTCATCAGGCCAATACCTTTTCTGTGCATAGGTCCACAACAACTGGGCCTGTTTGACATAACAGTTAAGGGGATGAAAAGGAAAACCCGCATATTTAAAATAGAGGGATTCCCATGACAAAATTAAACACAGCAAAGCCTGTAACATGTCTCTAAACCACAACATTGTTCTTTTGGCCTTAGTGTTTTCAATGATAATATTGGCCAGCTGCACCTAACAACTAAAATGGTTCTATTGTAACCCAAGAGTGAATAACAAGCACCGCTAATCCGGGATTAAAAATAGCTATGTATTAGTTTAGGTAAAGATCTCTCGCTAGCCAAACAGCAGATAAACTCAGCTCCACTGGTCTCTACAGAAGGTGTCATAAGCTTGACAAAATTGTTGTGCCTAAATTTTGGTAACTGACTCTTTGGGTGACAGACTGTGGAGATAAGCTGGTCTTGTAAAAATTGCCCAAAGATTTTCTTCATAACAAACATTTATATAAAAGTTCTATGTGCCGAGCTATCTGGAGTTATTTAAATACCCAACAAGAAAGTGTCATCAGTTTGCTCCTTCTTCATCTTCTTCTTCTTTAATAACTAAGAACAAATAGATGATGCAGAGAAAGATACAGTTAATGCTGATACACCTGAAAGCTAATCTGGACTGTCAGAAAGAGTCAGACTGGCAGAACAAGGAAAGTTGTATTTCCTGCCACTGTTTCTAACTGTCATGAATCTGAACTGCCCTTAACTAGAAAAGCCTTCAACTGATGAGATCTTCTGTTGCATGTTTTTCCAACTTCTTGGGTAACAGGGAATAAAAAAGGTACTAAAGCAGGACCTGCAAAGATCAGCCTAACTTGGTCACTGGGAGATGTGCCATGGCGGTTCAACTAACAACCAACCAGCACATCACCCTTCTCTTGTTGGGCCCCTACTTTGTGCTGCCGTTTCCACGACATATATACCAAGTCAGTAGAGGATACCTCCTCAATGATACCCAACTAGGATGTCCAGGCTACAAAATACAATTATATTAATGTGGATCCAAGAAGCAATACGGTCACATCTCTTTGATGTCATGGAATAAAGCTGCATTGCACAGTAGAGTAATTGTCTATACCCATCTCTTGGGTACTTGGAAAAAAAAAAATTACTTCTTAACTGCCATGATGAGCAAGGGCAGACTGTAGCAGTCTGCAGGGCTCACACCGCCTCATAGCAATGCGTTCATGAATTTAAAATAAGCTGAAATGCCAGTAGCCCCCAAAAGATTTATCAATTTATAAATTTTCCTCACAGTAGCAAAACTCAGTAGTACAGGTAAGCTCACAGCATGCTGAAATAGCACAATTAAATACATGCCTGAATAACTAGTACAGCAACAGCAGGGTTGTGAAGGTGTATGTTCGTTCATCTCCACTATCACCTAGGTAATGGGAACTGGGTCATACCAATGCTTTGCTCAGCTTGAGGCAGAAACTGGAACTATGGTGAGGCTTTGTGGTGAGAGCCCTTTGCTTACTGTACGACTGGGGAGCTGCATTTCTTTTTTCACAGGTAGGAAATGGAGAATAAAACCACCAGAGCCTGGTTTCTGTTGTGCCTTAGGCACCAAACTGCTGAGCAGGGTTCCTGGCACAGGAACTAACAGAAAGGAGACACCTACATGCTGAAAGAGACCTTCAGTGCTTATTTTTGTCCAGAAGATCTTCAACCATTTCAATAATTTTGAGGTCCCTATTATTAGTCCTCTCCCATATAGTACATAAGCATAATAGGATCCTGGGACAGTGTAACAGCAAGAATCTTATGGCCAGTTGCAACATTTCTGACTTCTTTTTTGCTCAACATTCTAGGTTTTTGTTGTTTCCATTCTTAAATACCATCCTCTCTTTCTACATCGCATAGGAAATGTACCTGCCTAATTCAGAGCTGTCCATTGCTCCCAGTCTTTGCCCATACAGATACTTACCCTATTCCGTTTTTTGTTTCACTCTCAAAATGTTTTCTGCTATAACAGCAAATGGCCTACTGCAGGCCATCCTTCATAGCAGTACACTTCTCTCATCAGGCTTCCATTTCCCAAGAATTCTTACTATTTCAGTTGCTCTGGCTTTGATTGCCCACCCAATGCTCCCCATGCTGATGCTGTCCTCTTGTCTCCATCCCTACACTCGTACCTTCCCTGCTGCTACTCTGACTTTTTATTAGTGTTACTAGTCCTGCTCTCCTCTTCGTTGCTTTAGTAAACAGCAGGTACCAGCAAACAGCTTACATCTCCATTAACAGAAATTTAACATCTTGAAAAAAAGATTTTAAAATTACCTCACTTTTAGTCACTAATGAGGACACGCATTAATATATTTTCACATCAGTGGCAAAAAGGAGAGGAGAGCACAAACTGAGGCTTAGTGTGGTGACAAGAGGGGGATGTTCAGGCATATAGGAAACTTGCACGAAGTTTTGAAAACTTGCCCCTGCACCAGAAGCAAACCAGAACATATCCCTGTCTATCCCTATTCCCCCATGTCACCCTCTTTTGTTGGGGAAAACTGTAAATCAAATTTACTATGAAAACTGTAATTCAACGTGGCAGATGAAAGCCTTGCTAACTTATTTAATGCTAAATATTTAACTATATGGTTACACAAGTCAATGTGTGAACTCCACAAGAGAGCTTCAAACCAGTATGTTTCAGTTCCCTATTAGTTATGCACTAAAACTATTTGACTGGATCACTTCAAGAGTACAGCCCAACTGTGGGCCAGAAGACCACTTGGACTCCAAAATCCATCAAACACTTTCAGAAGATCCTGCAGCCAGGGCTGAAAAAATCAGCTGCCAGAAGTTACCCTACTTCTGAATAACTCCAAAGAGAGGAGGGAGAAATATTACATGGGCACACAGATGAATTTCTGAGCTTATGATTCACTTCCCCATGGCTGTCTTAATATAAAGTTGCTAACTCACACCAATTGCCACATGCCTCAAACTCACCATCCAACTTTTTCAGCTTGGGTACTCGTTTGGTGGCTTCTTCGATCCAATTGTTCTTCTGATCAGAGGCGTATTTCTCTTGTAGTGGATTGCCTACAAACACCAGATCCTCTAGTAATGGCAGCTCTGCCAGTCTCACAAACTCTGCTGCAACCAACAAAGGTGAAAACACCAACCAGATTGTGGAACATGGAAAGTACATCTGCACCAAACCTTCCTTTCAAACTCAGTGCAAACATAAATAGCATGGGATACAACAGGATAGGGACTGTTTGGGCTCAAACTGGTATCAGGTTAAAGAATTGGTATGCATTTTAAAAGAAGTCCGAGAAAGATGATTCAAAGAACAAATTCAGTTGGGCTTAGAAGTTAAATTCAACATTCTAACTATTTTTACTCTCTTGCATGAGTGGATATTTAGGGATTCTGCATAGGTCTGCAGGTTTATCAGTGAGACTTAAAGCCCTGTAACATACAGAACTATTTTTTACTTGGTGACTTAACTCATGCATTCACCATACTGCAGGAGACGTTAGAGAATAGAGAGGCATGGCTTACCCCAGTCTTTCACCAAATTATTTGACATATAAAGAACCTTCAGCTTCTTCATTACACGGATACCCCTCAGTTTCTCAATAAAGTTGTACGAGATCCACAGCTCCTCTAAAGTATCTGCAACTGCCTCCTGGAAAATGACAGGACTACTCAGGTAAGCAGAAGTATATCTTCCTTATTCTTCAGATTCTCTCTTCACCCCCTACAGGTCACCTCACGTGAGAAAATACTAAGGAGTATTGGTCCTCATTTCCTTTTAAGCAGGTCCCTAATTACGCATGGTAAGTACTCATGGGAATTAAGAGCAAAGGATCTGAAATATATTTAGGAGGACAGCAATCACAATATTAGAGTAAGACAAGGAATAGCTGGCTGGAGTAGTTGTTCTTAAGGCATAGCAGCAGAGGAGACAGATTTGACTGCTTGTGCACTGCAAGTATACATGAAGTGAATGCAATTCAACAACTACTTTAGAGAGTGTTTTATACAGTATGTAGTAAATTAGCCCTGACGAATCTCCAAACATGAAGACTGTTTAAACAAGAACAACAACAAAAAAAAGAGAAAGACTATCTGAAAATTCAGAAGCAATGTGAACAGATCGTAGTGAAAGGAGAAAAAAATAGCTAGGTAATAACATAAATTGAGCGAAGACTTTTATGAACATAGGGAAGTTATCCTACATTCTAGATAGCACTCCATTTTGTTAGCAAAAAATTGATACTAAGAAGCACATACCAATCCATTCAAGTTCTTTATGTTATTTCTTCCCAAAGACAGAATCCTTAAATTTTCTGTAATAGATAAAAGAAAATTTCTTGTTAATAAATGTTTGGGTTTTTTTTAAAATATAAGAAGATGCTGCAAGTCAGGTAAAACACCATATTCTACTTACAAATAAACTGCACTCTGAACAGGCCGCCTTAATGAAGAATGACGTAACAAAACCAAAACCTCCTGACCTACACAGATCATCAGGAATGGATACATTGGACAGCTCAGAAACATGATCAGAAATGCAAAGCTGCTCATGTGTAGGTTACCTAGCTGAAATTCAATCCAGATAAATACCAAATAAAAATTATTATTTCACCTTGCACCTGAACTCTAGTTTTGCTGGATTTGATCTTACATAGTTCATACCCCTTCTTCTCCAATCTTATTTTAAGGCAGCAGATTTGATTTCTAGAATAGATGCAGCTTATAAAGCTGTCTCACAGAAGTCTGATGAGAGACATTTCAACTTATTCTAGGACCCAGACAAAACTCCTTACCAAGTGAGCTGTTCTTGCTGGGGTTTAGTCTAATACTAGTGTAACTCAAAGCTATCACAAAATAGCAGTCTTTTTGTGTAACTCATTTTCATTTTTTCACACAAGCTTTCTTGCAGGTGTAAACAAGCAAACTGAGTTGCAACACGTAGCTGGGTTAACTTTGGATCTATACCTTTCATGAATGTTTTAACACTTCTTAACTGTATTAAGGATGAAATACTTAATGATCTTGTTTTGCTCTTGTATGCATAATGATTGAAAATACATGGTACAATAATTAATGGCAAGACCAATGACAGTTCCAGCCAAGAAGCAAGAGATACTCCACAGACAGCACACACGGTGCCCAGAGATTGCTACGGATGAAGATTCAAGGCTGATGTAGAATAGATACTTGTATGTTCTGTCTCAAGAAATGCAGGGATGAAGCCACACCTGATAAAAGCACACCTTGCAAATATTCTGAAACAGGAAGATTAGTTTTCATTGAAAAGTTGAGGTACAACAAGAATTCTTTTTCTTTTTAAACACAACAGCTTAATACACGACCATGCCCCAAAAATGAAGAAGCTTAATCAGTAAGTCTAAAGCCTACTACAGCTAATATTCTCCAGAATATGGCTAAGGATCCCCATCCCCAGGGGAGAGCGCTGGGAGATGGCCTTTTGGTCTAGCCAGCTCTTCTGTCTGTAACTCACATTTGTAAATTATAAGTTTGCACCATCTTCTGAAATTTGTAAGAAATTAAAGGATGCTTACAAATACAAAAATGACAGATTGCTTAAAAACCCATGCCTTAAAATTGTTTCTAACTGCTGTTACTGGTTTTTTTATTACTCTTGTTCTGAGGTAGTCTGTATTTTAAAGGAAGAAAGATCTCCCTCATGGAACACATACACTCTCTAAAACACAAAACCAACACTTGTGCTGTCATTTAAAACATCTTCCTCACATGTACAGATACAGGGGTGTGATCCTTTACACAGCATTATCTACTTGACATAACTACAGTATCTGATATATACATTAATACTAATCTTTTCCGTCTAAAAAGAGTGTAGATGCTTGAAAAGATTTCTCAGCATCCTCTCTGCAATAAGCAAAACTGTAATAATTACTGGCTTGTTTTTTACAGCTATAAGCACTGCTTTCTCTCGCTTTCACAGAAGCCAACAGAGATGGTGAGTTCCTCATATTCCATACCTTTAGGAGATAGATCATGCAGTTCTAGTTTGTCTGGCTTTAGGATGAAAAATTTGGTACAGACTGGGTGATTCTACATTTTATTAGTATATTTAAGATGCCTTGAAGGCTTTTAATGTTTTATCACACTAAAATATTTCATTGGTTTCATACATAATTGCTTTATTTTTTGCTCATGATAAAGTTACTCAAATTGAAACACTACAATACAGTTATTTAGAAAGACTACTGGAATATTTTTTCCCCGATTAGTATTGGCAAATTTGTTGAAGTTTGAGCATATTATGAAAATGAGTAAGTTCACCAAGCTCCTTGACAAGCCCCATTGGTGCGTAGCTGGAAAGGATGGGATTCCAGGTTCCTTGTCTGTCCAGCTAGCAATTTGATGGGGACAGAAAAGCCTGGAAGCTCCAGCCCAAAACCTGCAGCTCTTTGCTGGCCTCATGCCACAGAGTCAAAGTCTTGAGGACAGACCATTAAGACTTCTGTCCTAAAGTCAGTAAGCCAGTAAGTTTCAAGGTGTCATGGACATGCCCCTTTCAAGGAAGAACAAAATCAAACCAAGTATATCCAAATCCTCTGCGAAGTGGAACGGTATTTTTCCATCCAGATCTACAACACTCAAATCTCACTCCAACCAATACCACAATTACACAGCTGCTGAGCTGCAGACTGTCGCCATCACAAGCATGGAAATTGGCCATTAAATCATTCTAGAACTGCTTAGGTTTTGAATATCACAACTCAGGCCCACTGGAAGTTACAAAGTTGCCTTCTGAATGGATTTTTTCTTGAACTTGCACAGTGAGACTACTGCCACAGCTAATGCACAGGGATACGTGCTTTAATACACTATTATTGCTAAACGCGCATTCTCCGCTAAGAGAGATTTTTCTGCTAATTTTAAAGGTCACTTGTAATTTTTGAAGATGAAGGAATGAAAAAGGATAAGAAAAGGTATAAAGCTGGAGATGCATAACGAATTATGGGGTATATCATATCCAAGCAACTAGAAAACAAACATAATCAATCACTGGCTTGTCACTTACTTAGGCTGTTCAAGTTGGCGATTCTTTCAATGCAGTTTGTAGACAGCGATAGTTTCCTTTAAAAGCAAGAATAATCAATGCACAACATACAAGGGTTCACTATATCAGAAAAGTTCAATGTCCAAAGACCACTGCATTAGAAATAAATGTCTGTTCTTCTCTCACTAGATGGTAAACTATCTGCATGTGTAAACAGACTCAAAATATCCTCAAACCGTCAAGACTTCTGCAACCTTATTTATTTTCTGGTAAAGTAGAAGTTAGTTACACAACATATTGGATTATCTTTTTTATGCCTAGCCTTAACAAATGCATGGACATTTATTTTTTAAATGGCTCTAATTTCTTTCTGAAAGTCCTGTTTAGGTCTTTTTTTTTTTTTTTTTTTTCATAAATTTTGGAATGGATCATAAATGTGCCAGTTAGCTGATAGACTCCAAACATGGACCTGTAATGATATACCAATAAGCAATTTACCAACAAATATCAATACAGAACCTACCCTAACATCCTCTCTGTTAGGTGACAGGGATCTTAGAATTAAAAAGTGGAACTTTGTGTGGAAAGACAAGCTTAGCTGAGAAAAAGAGAAAGCTGCTGCTTTGAAGGCCACGCTTAGACATAGTAAATACATATTTGCCAGGTGGACAGCAAAATACCTGAAAACTAATAAAAAGTGAAGAGAATGTTTGGTTTCCATTTTGTTTTTAACTGAACTTACTCGCAGTTAACAAGCGTGGAGAGAGATTCATCCATCCTCTCTACAGGAGGAATCTGACCGTACAGTTTCACCTCCTTTGCCTCCGAAGCCTTCTGACCATTTTTTTCTTCCTAAAGAAAAGAGAAGGTGAAGAAGATATTCACTGCTACATGCAATTACTAAAAATTACTATACTAAAAAATTACTATAGAAGTAATTACTATAGAAGTAATTTCAATACACTACTAAAAGATATTACTGAAAAGAGAAAGCATTTTGAATACTGTT